TTTTTTTTTTTTTTTTTATATACGTGTCTCCCGATCTGTTTGCGACCGCCGAATACTGATATTAAATACAGCACGTACGCATTATCAAAAAACTGGTACGAATTTTCATCCACCACTGCCATCTCTTACCGTCGCCGTCGTCCTACCGACCGAAATAACAATGCGGCAACGACAGCGTGCACGGTGTGCGCGTATTACGTACGGGAAAAGTGTGCGAAAACGTCGGGCAAGAAGACTTGAACGCAAGTGAAGTAAGTAATAAAATATTACGAGAGACTTTAACGCGTACGCGTGAGCTGAATATAAATTCCAACCGGCGACCTCTATGTTTTATTTATTAGAAAGGGAAAAAATTGTACACAGTTCTACCGGGCGGAACATCTTTTATAACATATTATAACATAGGCGCACGGGGACTTGCACAAATATATATACCCATAGAAATTTGCTAAAAAGGTATGTACAATTATGTTAGCGGCCGGGGGTACGTTATGTCGTCCTCCGAATAACACTGCCGTGTGCTCTCGTCGTGATCTTTTCGAGCGGTTATCGCGAACGCGACAATTAACACGGACCGCGTGCAGGACAACGATAACAATGATGTTATGGCAACGCGTTGGAATTCGCCTACACCGTTAGGGTTCGGAGGGGAACGTGAGTATACGGAGTGTCGCTTACCTGTGTCCAATATCGATTCCCGGATGACGACGGCTTGTCGTCGTGCGTTATATTAATCCGAAATAAATGCGTGAGTATCCAGCAGCGCGCGCACGTGAATATACTGACCGCGACGACGGCTACGCGCACTGCTACACGTATATGTATATACGGTCGAAAAAGAACAACACGCGTCCAGGCGATCGGGCTTTCGGAGCACAAAGAAAATATTACTATTACAGCGAATATTAAATCGATATCATCGCGACGACATATGATACCGTTTACAAATGTGTAATATGTTCACACCACGTCGGCGAGAAGACCCGAAAGAAATCCGCGCACTGGTACGACGACGCACACGCGGAACACGAGCACACGCGCACAACACGACGGGCGAAAAAAAACTTCCGGCGAACAGGTATACGTATGTTCTTCTCGCCGAGAGAAACGAAATACGATTGTGATCGGCGGGCGCGCAGAGGAGACGCGGACGACCACCGAACGCAAACGATTATCACGCTCGTCGGAAACGCACCACGACGGGAACGCGAGCACGAAAATACGGAATATTATCGACGCGGAAAAAGGAAACGCGTCGCGCTGAGAAACGGATTTGTGAGCGATGAAAGAAGAAAAAAAAAAAAAATTAAATAAATAAATAAACCGCGCGCTCGCCCCGGACGGATGGTGCGTGCAAAGCGGCTGTGCGGTGACTGACGGCGACGAGTCGTTCGGTCGGCCGAG